AATTAGCTTATAGATAAGGATTTGTTGTTTTCTGTATGACTTTAAGCAGACTGCCACATACAGTTGTCAGGCTACTTCCTATACACAGGTACCCAGAGAAGGAGAAAGGGAGGGAGAAGTGAAATTCAGTTTATAGTTCATTCAACGAGTCACATGACTTGGTAGGGATTGAGACCAGCTAGAAAAAGGCTAGACTTTTTGTAATTCATATAAAGGAGAAAACTTTTGCCTTTTGATGAGAACACCTTTCTAATTTGCATAAAGGCACAATATTAACTAATGATAACACTAGCCTACAGGTAGAACTAGGTCTATCAAGAGAAGTTTAGAGAAAAAGTGCTTTCAGCTCAATGTAATATAGTAATAGAGCAAGATATCATATAGAAAAACAGTTTCTGATGAGTAGCTAATCTCCCACACCAGATGTTCAAGGAATATCTGGACAACTATACTGTAAGGTTATTTTAGAGAGGATTTCAAGGTGGAAGAGTATGTGAGTTTGTGTTATGAGGTCGGCAGTGAAACTCAACAATCTTTTTAGCTTTAGGGATTCTTCATCTAAACTACCTATGTTTTCCTCCATATCCAAGTTGATTCCATAATAATCAGACCCCTTCTTTTCACAAATTTACCATGTACTATAGCCTTCTTCCTATCTAGCCAAATTCCTCTTCCTATCTTCTCCTTTCCCTGACCCATACATACTAAAGCATACATACTAATTAGTACTGAAAATATACTTTGTATACAAACTGCTTTCTAAAATGCTCACTATCTCTAGCAATCAGAGAAATGCAAATTAAAACTATTCTAAGATACCATCTCACTCCAGTAAGAATAGCAACCATTATGAAGTCAAACAACATCAAATGCTGGCAAGGATGCAGGGAAAAAGGTACACTCATACATTGCTGGTGGGACTGCAAATTGGTGCAGCCAATTTGGAAAGCAGTATGGAGATTCCTTGGAAAACTGGGAATGGAACCACCATTTGACCTAGCTATTCCTCTTCTCGGACTATACCCAAAAGACCTAAAAACGGCATACTACAGGGACACAGCCACATAATTGTTTATAGCAGCACAATTCACAATAGCTAGACTGTAGAGCCAACCTAGATGCCCTTCAATGGATGAATGGATAAAAAAATATGACATTTATACACAATGGAATATTACTCAGCACTAAAAAACAACAAGATCATGGCATTTGCAGGGAAATGGATGGCATTAGAGCAGATTATGCTAAGTGAAGTTAGCCAATCCTCCCCCCGCCCCCCCAAAAAAACCAAATGCCAAATGTCTTCTCTGATATAAGGGGGGTGACTCAAAATGGGGTAAGGAGGAAGAGCATGAGAAGAAGATTGCCTCTAGATAGGGAAAAGAGGTGGGAGGGAAAGGGAGAGAGAAGGGGAATTGCATGGAAGATGGAAGGAGACCTTCATCGTTATACAGAATATATGTATGACAATGTGAGGGAAGGAAAAAAAAAAAGAAGTGGGTCACATTAGATTGGGTAGAGAGAAGTGATGGTAGGGGAGGGGAGAGGAAGGGGGGAATGGAAGGACAACAGAATAAAATAGACATTATTATTGCTGTGAATATATATGTGACTGCATGACCAATGTGATTCTGCAACCTGCATACTCAGAAAAATGAGAAATTATATCCCATCTGATTCAAATGTAATATATGTCAAGATCATTGTACTGTCATGTGTAACTAATTAAAAAAAAGAAAAACAAGCCAAAAATTACTTAAAATAGAATGAAAATTTAGTTAAAAATTTTCTTAATATGTTCACTAGAGAAAGCTGCAGTTTTTTGTTATTGTTTTGAGGTTTTTCAGTACTGGAGACTGAATCTACAGGCACTTAACTACTGAAAAACATCTCTAACACCCTCACTCTTTTTTTTTTTGAGACCAGGTCTCACTAAGTTGCTCGGGACCTTAGTAAGCTGCTTAGACTGGCTTTGAACTTGTGATCCTCCTGCCTCAGCCTTCTGAGTAACTGGGATTACAGGTGTGTGTCACCATGCCAAGCTACCGTTCATTCTTTTTTTTTTTTCGAGAGAGAGAGAGAATTTTTTAATATTTATTTTTTAGCTTTCGGTGGACACAACACCTTTATTTTATTTTTATGTGGTGCTGAGGATCGAACCCAGCACCCCGCGCATGCCAGGCAATCACATTACCGCTTGAGCCACATCCCCAGCCCCATACCGTTCATTTTTAAACGATTTATGTCTCAATCACTGAAAGTCTATGAGTTGCAGTAGAAAAGAGTATGGGACTCCTTCATCACTTATACCACACTATTAAAAGTAAAAAGATGCCTTTTGGGGGGGAAAAACATTTAACATCACAAGTTGTGAAATAAACATGAAAATATAATCAATTTATATTTGTTTGGTCATTACTGAAAGTATGATACTGTATTTAAAAAGTAATGATTATGGTGATAGATGATGCGCATTAAGAGGCAGAGTCACCCAAAGGGAAAATCTTAAAAGGAAGCCAAGTTGTCTTTTATGGTTTCTCTTTGAGTCTTGGTCCCTTCCTTTCCCTATCTCCAGTGCTAAAATTTAGCCCCCAACAGGCTAGGATTTATCCTTCTTATTCTTGACCTCAGACTTTCCTAATTGAGTTATACCTCATACTCAGGGTCTTCCTTGGTGTTCTTCAAGAGATTAGTCCTTTAAGAAAACATCACATTTAAAAAGGATCCTTTAGCAATTCTGCCCAAAGTAGTGAGTAAAAGCAAAAAGTTATAAGGCAAAGATTGGCCAGGGGGTGGGGGTGGAGTGCCGACTTAGTTAGGCTACCCTTCATACAAAAGTATGAACAGAGAGAGTTAGACATTGAATTGCCTAACCAAACAGCAACTTCTATCATTCGGCAATAAATCTAATTGAGAAGAAATAACCAAACATCAACAAAGGGTTCAACCACCTAATTATTTTGAAGTCACACTAGAGATATAATAAAACAAAATGTCTCAAGCTATATCAATGTAAAATATGTACATAAGCAATGTCATACTGGAATGAGCTCATAAGAAAACTTTTTTTGGTACTGGATATTTAACAGGGGGATTTTACTACTGAGCTACATCCTAGCCCTTTTCATTTTTTATTTTCTATTTTTTGGGGACAGGGTCTCACTAAGTTGCTTAGGGTCTTGATAAATTGCTGAAGTTGGACTTAAATTTGTGATCCTCCTGCATCAGCCTTCTGAGTCACTGGGATCATAGGCATATACCACCACACCTGGCATAAGGCAACTTTTTAAAAACTTTAAGAAATCAGTTTTTAGCTGTGAGCACAGCTGAGAAGTACAACACACACTTAGTATGTGCCAGACCTTGGGTTCAATAAGAAAGAGAAGAAGGAAGGAAGGAAGGAAGGAGGAAAAGAAGGAAGGAAGGAGGGAGGGAAGGAAGGAAAGAAATTAGTTTCAAACTACTTATAGAATAATAATTTGAGCTTAGATAGCTTGTAAAAATTTTTTAAGTATTTTTTTTGGCAAATACAAAAATATTTTGTAAATGCTAGTTTTATTTTTTATAAAGAAAATAAATGTTTTCTAGTTAGAGAAAATTAGAAACACTTCCTAAGAAAATGAATTTTTTTCTCTAGCGGAAAACCTTATACACAATGGGCACACGAATATTTGATCCTTGTTGGGGAAAAAAAGTTGCAGGCTGCTGACATTTAATTTTTAAATGTCTTTCACAAAGAATATATTGTTGCAAATATTTCCTCAGACAAGTATTTTATAATCCTTCTTGTGCCCCACTGACTTTTAATTTATCAATGGAGGTGCCTAACTCAACTGTCAACAAGGGATTACTCATTTGAAAGTACTGCTTGAAAACTGCTAATGTATACTCATGTTCTATACTTTAAAAGTTATAATTTAAGGGTTGATAAAACCCATATCCAGAAGTACATATAATAAGGCCAATAACACACAAGTAACCAAATCAGTTTTGAAGCTGATTAGCTAATGTCAATACTAGATTATGGAATATGAGAACCTTAGTACCTAAACAAAATAAAGTAAAAAATAATGGCAACTATAAAGGCCTGAGAAATGTTTGGGAAAGATAAACAAAAATTTAGACACTTCATTTGTTATGCAGGGTCTTTTTTAAAAAAATTTTTTAAAGAGAGAGAGATAATTTTTTTAATATTTATGTATTTATTTATTTTTCTAGTTTTCGGCGGACACAACATCTTTGCTTGAATGTGGTGCTGAGGATCGAACCTGGGCCGCATGCATGCCAGGCGAGCGCGCTACTGCTTGACCCACATCCCCAGCCTGGATATGCAGGGTCTTAAGATTGTCCTTCTACCAAATATCTAAAAAGTTATTAATAGAAAAAAGTGACAAACTTAGAATCATCTCATTCATTTATGACAAACATTAAGAGTCCTGGCAAGAAAGCAAGAATGACTTGAGAGGGTTGGAGTTGAGGCTCAGTGGTAGAGTACTTGCCTAGCACATGTGAGGCACTGAGATTGATTCTCAGCAATCTATTCTATTTATTTACTTATTTTATAAAATAATCTATTTTATTTATTTACAAATAAATAAAATAATCTATTTATATTATATTATTTATAAATAAATAATTTTATTTATAAATAAATAAAATAGAGGTAGTATGCCCATCTACAACTAAAAAAATACTTAAAAAAGAAAAAAAAAGAGTTACCTGAGAAAGAAATATTGGGGATAATGAGTTATCTTTTGAATTATCCCAATTTAGAGTACCATTTCAGTGCCTCTCTAGAAACCTTGAATGTGAAGCTGGTATAATTTTCATTTTTCTCTTCCTTTAAAGAAGTTAGTTCTACTCACAAGGCTGCCAAAAGTTTAGTTATATTAGATCCTTTCCTTCTTCAAAATATCCTACTACCACTATATATATAATTTTTTTCATATAATTTAAATATACATTCCTTGAAATTCATGAACTACCAACATGGTACTTACATTCACACTGTATGACATCTAAGTTAAATTGCTGAACAGCTCCCATGCTTATCTGTTTTAACTCACTATCCAGCAGCATCTGCATCAAGGATGTTGACAGATGCTGGCAGGCTGACATGCAAGCTGTCTGGGCGACTTTCCCCTGTTTAAATCAAACAAAAAACAAACAAACAAAAATAAATAAATAAGCAAATACAAAAATATACTATAAAGTAGTACAAAAATTATATACTGACAATCTTTTAATAGTGATTATTGGCTTTTCTGTTTCTGCATTCTGAATAGCTATGCCTTTGTATTGTAAGAACCAAAATTAATATTCTTAGTTCCCTCATCTTTCTCAGGATATATCATTAAAGATCTAACTGAAATACAAAGAAAACTGAAATACAAGTTAAAAAGCTATTATTATTTCAGATCTCTTGAAATATCTAAGATTAAAAGAATTAATATCTAATATTAAAATAATGTCTGAAAATTTTAAAAATATTGATATTTCAATATTAAAATATGACATTTATGACAAAATCACCATAACATCAAAAAACACACTTTTCCATATAATGCTCTCTAAGCTCTCCTTTGTATATTTAACTAAACCAAAATGAAGAAAGTTAATGTTGTAATTTATTATTACTATTTAAACTGTATCTAAAATTCAAAATATACTTTGAGCCATAAGTCTTTATTTCTACTCAGAATGCTAGTATGTGACACAGCTTTAATTACTGATGGGAGGGAGGCTTATTTACTAGTATGACTTCAAACTGAATTAAATACAGATCTGCATTTAGTTTTAGAAATTGAGTTTTAAAATCATTTGGTAATTTAGAAATATGTAGTAGTTAAGTGAACTACATATGCTTGTGGTTTTCTTTTATTAAGGTATATAACATTTAAATATATTTTCTACTTTAATAAGGTCCTGCAACTACATGAACTTTGATAGCCCTAAGTTTTCTTCTTTTAGCCTCTAGGTTATATAGCTAAATTACAATACTATATCACTTTTAGTATAAACTATTTATTTTAAAAGGCTTTTTTGCATTTGAAATAGAAGTTTAAAATAAAATATTTTAAAGACTCTTCTAGATAAAATCTTCTAGTATAATACTGCTCCTAGAATGTCTACCTCTAGCCATTATGAGATTTGGTGATTTGATGATAAAATTTAAGATCTATGGTTATGGTTAGAAAAAACGACTTTCTGGAGACAAGCCATGTTTTGCTTCATTCCATTAATAAATATTTAACCATTTATATTTAATAATTAGGTTTCTTCCTACTTAACACAAAGGCAATAAAGCTACAATCATGAAAAAATATCTTCCAAACATAATTGCTACAATAAATGGGTACAAAAATGTTTATGTGGATTTGATTTGAAAAGTAATAAAGAACATAAATATATTTTCACATTTGTTAGAACGTTTGTTCTTTAACTTACATATTAATAATCAGACTGGAAACAAAGAACTTTTATGAATGATTCGTTAGCATTTAGACACTATGCACAGTAGAAAACTGAAATGGAATGTCAATTTCTCAATCAAAAACTTGAGATAAAAGCTGATGCAAACAATATACTTGACAGATACTGATGAACTGCCAAAAAGGAATGTAACAAACAATGAAAAACCCAGCATGCTTCAAGATCCCCCAATCCTAAAAGGAATTAGTCTGGGAGACATGCAGCTCCATTCCCCAAGCAGAATAATATCAATATGAATGAGAGGGGGGATAAAAGCAGAAAAAGAAGAAATCAATGACCAGTTATTTAATTACAATATAATAGGTTTGTGAAAATGGAAATGTCATTGTGACCTAATGAACAACTATTATATTTTAGTTTAATGTACTTCTTCATCAAATCAGCTCCATGTTCTATTTATGTTGCTACTATAATGTACTCACTACAAAAACAGATTAATAAACTGCAAATTTTATTATTAAATTCATTTTAAGTTCATTTAAGCAAATACACTGCACAATATAAGTAGTATTGTTTTCAGTGAACCTTTAAAATTTAACAGATTCAGAGGCTACAAATATATATGTGTGTGTGTGTGTGTGTGTGTGTGTGTAACTGGAGCTGAAAATGATGGTTAGAGTACAGATAAAGTTATTCCATAAAATGGTAGAAATAGGTAATGAAAATTCATATTTAAGTTACATATAATAATAAAATCCTAACATTATTTTTTTTGATTAGGCATATTAAATACAGGCTTACTGTTCTCAAAGAAGTTTAAAATATTTATAAAATATTTTATAACTTTTTCAAATGAAATAAATTCTTCGTTACTAGAGATCAAAATTTAAGTTAATAATATCAAAGGTTCAGATTCTTTCCATTTAAAAAATTATGTTCTATAAGATTACATACTTTTAAAGTGCCTACTTTCTAACAATAGAAAGTGTACATATATTCTTAGATTTCATCTACTACTTAATTTTATTTATTTATTTATTTATTTATTTATTTATTTGAGAGAGAGAGAGAATTTTTTATTTATTTTTTTAGTTTTCGGCAGACACAACATCTTTGTTTGTATGTGGTGCTGAGGATTGAACCCATGCCGCACGCATGCCAGGCGAGCGTGCTACCGCTTGAGCCACATCCCCAGCCCCTACTACTTACTTTTAGATAGAAAAATTCTAATCTCTCCAAAATATGCACACCTAAAAAATATATTTGACAATTTATTTCTGATGTGTATGGCCCTGCACATACTTTGATATAATTAAACACTACTCTTGAATAATATTACTGCTGTTATTGTTGAAGCTTTTAATAATTTAATAATTTTATAAGACAAAAACAATCTAACAATTTTTATAATTATCTTTAAAAACTATCCCTTTTTATTAGAGATGACCTGGTTTTTAACCTGATAACAAAAAAGCCCAAATAATATATGACTGAAAAAAACACTGCACATTTAATAAATTTTAAGCACCTAGAAATTTCTCTTGCCCTCATCTGAAAAATTAATTGCAACTATTAACATTTTTCTCTTTAACAACACAAAATTCAATAAATAAGTTAAAACACCTGCTTAAGTTTTAAGTGTAACTATGTTTTCATGTTCTAACATTTTGTTGAAAAACAACTTGCAAAGAGAGAAAACCCTTAGACAAACTTCTTATATTTCAAAGGCACTTGTAAAAGAGAATCTGCTGACATATTAGATCCTTTTTGCATTACCCAAAAGCTTTTCTTCTAAGAACAATTGTGGTAAAGAGACATTTGGCTCCTAGGAAATTCCCAAAGGGTCAACCATATGCATCCTTCCATGCACCTTCACAGTGCTGCTTTCTAGATTCATGTCTCAAAAGCAGCTTTCATCATTTACTTGTGTGTCAGTCAATATGATTTATGGACTGCATTCAACAAAGTCAAAGCATATAGAATGAGAAATATGACTACAATCTGCTAATTTGTTTTGTATTGAGCCATTTAAGAGTCAAAGACCTGATGTCAGACTGAGACCAGCAACACAATTAACCAGCCGGTGACAGATTCATCCATCCTCCCTGCCAGGCTGTGCCAATCAAAGACAGCATGAGGTGACATTTGGTGAAATCAGTAAGAAAACTCATTCTCTAAGTAACCTATGTGAGACCTTGATTGACACTTTTTGAATTTAGTTTGTGGAACACAGCCACTCTTTACTCAATAGTTCCTCACTGCAAGCTGTGAAATAAGGCTTTTAATGCCAATCACAGGAACAATAAACCACTAACCATCAACCTCAGTCTAGAATCAAGAAAACAAATGTTTGTATGTCAAGCCAAATTTCCCAAATAATTTATTATTACAGGTTAAGCTAAAGATTGTTTCCTTTGAAATATTATAAAATAACATGGTAATAAAAATACATGTTTTATAAGATTATGGTTCAAATTGTTTGGGTTTCAAAGAAATGTTTTCAAAGATCTACTCTAATAGTGGGAGAAATGTTGAAAATTTATAAATAATTGGCACTTTGACTTTTCATTTGTAGTTTTGTCTCACCATTCTCTTATTTCAAAGATCTAATTTTTTTAAAAAAAGGATTGATTCCAACAGTAATTATTTAAAAGCATTTTTCAAGTCTGTTTCATTCTTTCAAGAACATCTCATGTAAAAATATGCTCCTGAAATCACAACCACCTTCCTGTATTGGTTTACTCTTCCTTAATGATCCCAGATGAGTCAAATTCCCTTTATTTATAATCACCACAAAAACCAACTCTGCACAATAAACTACTCTTTTTATTTAAGTAAAAAAAGAAAAATATAGATACAAATATACTATGCATAATGTTATTTTTTAAATTGATAACAGGTTTTGTTTCAAAAGGTTACATAACCCTTGACAGAAAAAAAATCATGGTGGATTTAAATATTACACCTAAAACTAGAAAGTGAATTTATTAATTCTGATCCTGCCTTTTAAATTATTTAAATTAAAGCAGTAAATTGATGTTATGCATAAACTTACTGCCTCTCAGTTTGCTATATAAATTTCAGTTAGCAGACTATGAAATAGTCTTTCCAGAGGCAAAAGGGGAAGAGAACTATTTTTTTCTTATGTCTTTATTTTTGTTTTATTTTTATGTGGTGCTGAGGATCGAATGTAGGGCCTCATGTGTGCGAAGCAAGCCCTCTACCACTGAGCTACAACCCCAGCCCGGGGAAGAGAATTATTTTGACGGATTCTTCAGTCTCCTAAAGAGCCACAATGTATATAGCCTTCTAAAATACACAGACTGAAAGAATAAGGTCTTTCACCAAATGTGGAGTAAATACTAAAATTAGAAATAAAAAATTCTTAATTCGAATTTAAAATGGTGAACCTAGGTGAAAAGTAGATATTTTAATTTAAAAAATCTATTATTTTCCTTCTGTTTCATACAAGAACTACTAATCAAAAGTCTCACTATATGAAACTACATCTTAGCACAGAGGTGCAAGCCTGCAATCCCAGTTATTAGGGAAGTTGAAGCAGGAGGATCACAAGTTCAAGGCCAGCATGGTAAAAAGTTGGTGAGACCCTATCTCAAAAAATAAAAGGCTGGGGATGTAGCCCAGTGGTAGAGCACTCTTGGTTCAATTCCCAGCACAACAACAGAGAGAGAGAGAGAGAGAGAGAGAGA